CACTCCTCTTGCACCCCAACCCCCTGTCCTGAGCCCCCGCCACACCCTACACCCCTGCTGCACCCCTCACCCCTCCTGCATCCCACACCCCAACTCCCTGCCCTGAGCCCCCGCCACACCCCACACCCCTCCTGCGCCCCCTGGGGGCAAGAGGGGGCAGAGTTGGGGTGGGGATTTCAGGGAAGGGGTGGGGCCTCATGGAAGGGGAGGAGTGGGGGCCGGGCCGAGGGCGGCGGGTGGGAGGTGTCAGTTAATGGGGCCCTCAGGCCAATGTACTAGTCCTCATGTGGCCCTCGTGGTCATTTGAGTTTGAGACCCCTGGTCAAGACCATGACCCACCTCACAGTGCCTTAATCATCCCTTTCCCTGTTTTCAACCAATATTTCCTTCCCTAGATACAAACCAGGGAATTTAACATGAAGTATCTTTACTTCAGAGTTAAGGTTAAAGTTAAGAAATCTAAACATGTTGAGGTATTTTAACAAACTAATTATCAGATTTCTTTGAAAATTCATTCCATACTTATTCTTTGAGTACTATAAAACTGGAAAGGATTCACTGTATCATTAACATTTAACAGAGATGATTAATCCTTGCTTCAATCTTAACTGTAGAGTTGTGCCCAGAATTGTCATCACAATTTTTGGGAATTAATTTTTTTTATTGAGTTTTCAAAAAATTTAGATAATGGGCCATAATTTTGTTTTATGTCAATCATGATCTTTATTTTTTCAGATATTACAGTGACAGCACACAAACATAATATTTTGAAAAGTCATTTTTCTTGAATTATAACAAGTTTTGGTCCCAATTCAATATTGGGCACTTCCACGGATGAGAACTTTAGGTTCTGCCAGACCTGAATACACAAACAATATTACATACTGAATTTTTTTTTTAATTAGGGATTTTCAGTGTGTATTTAACAAAAACGTATCTTCCATTTTATGCTTCAGTGTGTTGTTGTTTTTTTATCAATTTGAACGAACATCCTTCCGGTAGTTCTGAACATAATACGACACTGCAGTTTTTCTTCATTCGTGTATGCACATATACAGATGCAGCATTTTGTATTCTGAAATATATTCTTAAATTTGCAAATTTCCAATTGTGTTTTTGTATCTTTGACTTGAAATTAGAACAGAATTAAAGTTGCAACGTTAAGGTTACCGGAGCATTTCCTGACTTTAGTGTAGTTAAATTCTCAGTTGTACTTCGCACGCAAGTAGCTTTTTGCATTTAAAAGAAAAAAAGAACAGAGAACAATATAACATAGTTGAATTGATCTGTTTGTACTGTCAGTCTATTTTTCCAGTCTGGCATTTATTTGTACGAGTGGATACACTGAAACTACTGGCACCAAGGAGTTAGTAAATTTCTGAATTTCACCAGAGTATGTTTATGCAGCCATTTATCCCATTCCAACATCTCCAAAAATTGCTCAGTGAAATCATTAGACATTGAATCCGCCTTCAGTGCTACAAGTCCTTCATAATACGCATGAGAAACCTAAACCTGATGCATATTGCTGACAAAAATGCTTCTCATAGTGAATTATGCTAGCTTTGAAAAATACTCACTGAAGTATTAGAGTGACTAATCGAATGGCTTCCACAGCGACATCATATTCCTTATCAAGTGTCATTGATACAATGCGATCCTGAAAAGTAGTTGTATTAGAATGACAAAACACACAACGTTTTCAGAAAATGAATATTTAAGTTACAAAATAAACAGTCTTTGATGGACACACCTTTCCACAGAAACATGATAACCATTTGACTTCTTTCAAACATGCTAAGTTCATCTAATACAATGTGCTTTCATGGGGTAGATATGCCAGGTTCTGTATGTCCTGATTCTAACACTGTACATGCAACAGGAATGCAAACATGTGTCAAGGAACTTTCCCCTCTTGCCATCCCATGCAGATGTCAGGCAAACTCAGGCTGGGGAACTGAGGCACTACTCTGAGCTAGTGTCTCCTCAGTACCAGTCTGTTGAAAGGGGATGGGGTTGGTCTGGATGAGGGCAGGGCTGTGGCCCCAATTTGTCTCCTTCACAATGACCAATAGAGCTTCAGTAGTGCATTTTGGGCAGGGTGTATGCATGTGAAAGAGCATTGTGCAGAGAATCTCACCTGAAGCAGCTGCTGCAGCATGGCCCTTTGCATGCCCATGACTTAAAGCCACCATCTGGCCTTAATAATTATCCCACATGCCTTCCATAAGAAATTCAAGGAATTTGGTGGTACAACTATGGATTTTCCTTCTCTCTCCCCGTCAGTGGCAGATTAGCCACTGGACCAACAGGGCCCATGCCCAGTAGCCCTGGCCAACTGGGGACCCCCGAAAAATGGGCACCCCCACACACCACTTGGCGCGCCTGCTGGGGTGTGAAGTTGGGGCGGGGGGGCTTGCCCCACTCCGCCTGCCTGGTGCTCATGAGGAGGAAGCCCCTGCGCCACGACCCCGCTCCCTGGCAGAAGTGCCAGGAGGGTGGGGGCAAGCCCTTATGCCTTGACCCTCTTCCCCAGCAGGAGCACGGGGGAGGGAGGACTGCAGGCTAGGGTAGGGTGGGGTCCCCACTTGCTCTGGCCCAGGGCCCCACAAAACAGTAATCCATCTCTGCTCTCTGTGAATGCCAGCAGACCAATGGCCAATGGCAGGATTTTCACGCTTTCGAGGAGTTCCTCTACTGCTTCCTTCCTTTCCTTTCCCAATTTGATTTCTTTCAAATTGAAACAAATACCCTCCTTGTCTGCAGAGATGTCTATTGATCCCTGGAACACAGTTTCTTTTGGGTCTTGATATATTGTTCAAGCAACACAAAACAAACTGGGGAAATTGAAATAAAATTTGTTTTCTGAGAGCTGGCCTACTCTAGCACAGACCTTGGGTTTTGTGAAATGCTACTGTTAAAATACCTGGGTTGAGAAAGAACAGAAGAGAGCTAACTAAAAGGAATGAAAGAGGGAGTAAGGGGTGAAATTAAGAATGGCCATAAATTGACCAAAGCAATTCTTGGTCTTCATGCTCTTCCAGAATTCCATGGGACAATGGCTCTAAGTACCCAAAAGCATAAACTGACATCTGCACATTTAACGTGTTGTGTTTAGTAATAATATTTAAGGAGTTTCAAGTGGCTGCCTTAAAAAGTTTGTAATTGGAAGCATTGCCTCTTGCTGATCACACTTCAGAGGAGTGATCCTTGATCCTAATGGGAGAAGGTATCTTTGCTATATCTAGATGCTCCTAAAGATTGTTTGGTGCCTACGAAGAGAAGAAAACAGTGGAATGATTTTCCAGAAAGGAGATTTCCTTTCCAAATTCACAGAACTTTCAAATTGGAAGTCCAGTGTGAGTATGAGATTCTTTTCTGTGAACTGTGTTAATGGCATAAGCTTGGAAAAGAAATATTTTATATTAAGTGAAAAGTGGAGTGACACCTTTGGTAGGAAACTGGGATAGATATGACAAACCATCTTGTCCTTAGTGGTTAGATGTAAGGTGAGAGACCTCAGTGCTGCCAGTTTCCTCTTAGTCCTGGCCCAGGAAATGGCCATTAAGAAATTAATCTCAGGGCAAAGGAAATTCAGATCTACTGTCCTCAAAGGATCAAATGAAAGTTCACATAACCTCTAATAGCAATTTTTAAATGCCACAATATCAGGGGCCACTGTCGGGAGAGCTAAAGAAAGGTGATTGACTCCCTTTAAGAAATGGGAAACTAACATCAGACACAACTATTCCTCTGTTGACTGGCCTTCCCAAAGAGTGTTGATGGCAGAGGTCTGAACCAGTAAATGGCTAGGTGCAAACTTCTATCAGAATGTTTTTGAAGAAAGTCTAGAATGGAAAGGATCTTCCCTGTCTTATAATGAAAACTTCCTAGCCTTGCATCGTACAGAAAAGTTTGGCTACACTGTATAGTTAGTGAAGAAGTTGCTCTTTTTCCTACAGTATAATATAGTTTCAGCTATCTTATCAGAAACACCTAGCTCTTTCTGAAGTGCTCTGTTATAAAACAAGCTGAGCAATTTGAAGTGCGATGGTTTAGGTCGTGCTTGGGTCCTTGCTGAAGGACATTTTAGCACAGAAGATGATTCTACTAAATTCCCTAATACAGACCTTCTGGGGCACACAGGAGCTATAAGTATTATCAGTCTTGTGCCAAGCTACATTTCTTAGCACTTTCCAAACAGAAGTTGCTGAAGGAAAAGTCTGGAACTTTACACAAGCACAAGGAACTGACACAGTCAACGCTAAGGTTTCTGATGTTGCTGCAAAATTGGGCACATCTGGGGCATGAGGAGGTCCATGATGGCTCTTCCCAGTTTTCTCTGATGTGGTAACACGCCTGCCTTTTTTAAGTCTACTCTGCCTGGCAACTCAGCTGGACAGGCACATGGAGACTTTTCAGCAACAACAAATCTGCCTTATGGAATGGAGAGGCTGACTCCAGTCCCTTCTTGACTACTGATATAGAATGACAAGGCTGTGCTGCCCTATCTGACAAGTTTGTACTTTACCTTGCATCTTTCCCGAAACATCACCTGGACCAGAGAGACTAATACCTCAAAGTTGATAGTGTTGATGTGCAACTTTCTTTTCCTTTGACACGATTACCCTTTCAACTGTCAGTGCTCTGGTGGGACACTAAGGCTATGTCTACACTAGCTCTTTTGTCAGTCATGGGTGTGAAAAAACACCCCTCTAACAGGCAAAAGTTTCACCGACAAAAGCACTGATGGGGACAGTGCTAAGTTGGCAGGAGATACTCTCCTGCTAACATAGCTACCACTTCTCGTTAGAGGTGGTTTAATTATGCCGTCAGGAGAGCTCTCTCCTGCTGGCATAGAACGGCTAAACAGGAGACCTTACAGTGTCACAGCTATGCTGCTATAATGTCTGTAGTGTAGATATAGCCTAAGTCATTGGGACTAAGCTCCCCACAGACCAGGACACAAAGCCTACAGACATATCTCCATTGCAATGATGATCCCCACAACACACCTTTCAAGATCCATGGATCCTACCCAAACCTATCACAACATGTGATATACCTCATCCAGTGCACTAAATGCTCCAACAACTATGTGGGTGAAACCAGACAATCACTACGCTCTCAAATGAAGTCAGAAAGAAAAATGATGAACAAAAACATCCTATCACAAAGCCATCACTCTATATCTGACCTATCAGTCCTCATACTCAAAGGAAACCTGCACAACACTTCCAAAAGATAAGCCTCAGAGCTTAAATTCATAACTTTGCTAGACATTAAAAATCATGGACTGAACAGACACTGGATTTATGGCTTATTACTACAATTTGTCCTATGACTCCAGAGGTGTTAATGGGCCACTCTACCTTGTATGGTCCCTTACAATATGTGCTAACTACTTATGCTAAATAGTCTGTTCCACCTTGCATTTAGCTGTGATGCTCAGAGTAATTTTCCCAGACCTGAAGAAGAGCTCTGTGTGGCTCAAAAACTTGTCTTTCTCACCAACAGAAGTTGGTCCAATAAAAAAAAAATTATCTCACCCACCTTGTCTCTGTGTCACTTAGGAACTTTTGGAAATTTTACACTTGAACTTTTGATCTGGCTTGCAAAAGAAATAATTCCCACAATCCCCACAGTGCCTCATTTTGTGTTTGTACTTAATAGGCGATTTCCTGATGGAAAACAAGTGGTTCTTCTTTGATGAATGACACTTGGTCTTCTTTGACTAAGCACTGGACTAGTATCTACCACCTCTTCAGGCAGAAACTCTGAACAGGAAGAGCCATCATTCTCAGCGATATCATCTCCCCCACTTTCACCTCAATGGTCAAATCAGAGAGGCCCTTCAAGCTAACAGAAAGGTGACAAGAGTACTAGAGGCCAAACACAGAGCTAACAGAGAGGTGACAAGAGTACTAGAGGCCAAACACAGAGCACCCTAGGCCATGTCATTTAAACTCTTGACAGTCACAGTATCTCTGGAGAGATTTCTCCTGCTATGAGGGATGGACAAGCAGAACTCCTACTGAACTGCTAGAGCTAGCAAAAAGCTGACATGGAAACATATGAATAATAAGCAGCCAAGGAAAACTGAATGGCAATTAGAGACATTATTTTTCATGTAACCCCTCACGTTTTCTCTATTTTGCTTGTAGGAATACAGATTTCACGTGCAGATGTGTTTTCTTGGAGCAGGGGGAAGCAAGAGAGTTCAATTTGGGACAGAAATACATTTTCCTGAGAACTTTTGACCAAGTGTACCAATTTGAAGCAAAGCAGGTTTAGCACCAGGAGATGTAGGCTGTTTCCAAATAATTTTTGGACTGATAAACCAAGCAGCTTCCCTAGTCCCACAAAACAGGAAGACACCATTAGAATTCATCTGTTCCTGAAGTAACAGAGGAGTAGCCGTGTTAGTCTGAATCTTTAAGACTAACAGAAGTATTGGAGCATAAGCTTTCGTGGGTGAATGCCCACTTCATCAGACGCAAGTAATGGAAATTTCCAGAGGCAGGTATAAATCAGTATGGAGATAACATTGGCCAAACTGGACAATCACTACACAAGAGGATAAATGGACACAAGTCAGATATCAGGAATGGCAATATACAAAAACCTGTAGGAGAACACTTCAACCTCCCTGGCCACACA